ATAACGTTATAACGTATTGCGTTATATGGTATAACGTCATATGGAATATCGTTATAACCTACTACAGTATATGCTATAACGTTATAACGTATTACGTTATATGCTATAACGTTATAACGTATTACGTTACATGGCATGACGTCATATGGTATATAGTTATAATATTACGTTATATAACATAACGTTATATGGCATAACGTTATAGCGTATTATGATATATGGTATAACGCTATAACGTATTCCGTTATATAACATAGCGTTATATGCTATAACGTTATAACGTATTACGTTATATGGTATAACGTTATAACGTATTACGTTATATAACATAACGCTATATGGTATAACGTTATAACGTATTACGTTATATAACATAACGCTATATGGTATAACGTTATAACGTATTACGTTAAATGGTATAACGTTATAACTTATTACGCTAGATGGCATTACGTTATAACGTATTACATTATATGGTGTAACGTTATAGCATAATATGTTATATGGTATAACGTTATAACGCAATACGTTATATGGTATAACGCTATGTGGTATAACGTTATATGGTATACGTTATATGGTTATATGGTATATTATATGGTATAACGTAATACATTATCGCGTTATACCATATAACGTATTACGTTATAACTTTATGAACGTAATACGTTATAACGTTATACCATATAGCGTTATGTTATATAACGTAATACGTTATAACGTTATACCATATAGCGTTATGTTATATAACGTAATACGTTATAACGTTATACCATATAGCGTTATGTTATATAACGTAATACGTTATAACGTTATACCATATAACGTAATACGTTATAGCGTTATACCATATAACGTATTATGTTATAAAGTTATGCCATATAACGTAATATGTTATAGCGTTATACCATATAACGTAATTCGTTATAATGTTGTACCATATAACGTAATACGTTATAACGTTATGGCATATAACGCTATGTTATATAACGGAATACGTTATAGCGTTATACCATATATCATAATACGCTATAACGTTATGCCATATAACGTTATGTTATATAACGTAATACGTTAGGATGTTATATCATATAACGTATTACTTTATAACGTTATACATATAACGTTATGTTATATAACGTAATACGTTATAACGTTATACCATATAACGTAATACGTTATAACGATATACCATATATCGTTAGGCCATATAACGTAATACGTTATAACGTTGTACCATATAACGTAGTACGTTATAACGTTATACAATATGACGTTATACCATATAACGTAATACGTTATAACGTTATGCCATATAACGTAATACGTTATAACGTCATACCATATAACGTAATACGTTGTAGCGTTATACCATATAACGTAATACGTTATAACGCTATACTATATAACGTTATTTTATATATCGTAATACGTTATAACGATATACCATATAACGTAATACGTTATAACGTTATGTAGTATCGGGGAAAAGGGCCTAAGAAACATCGAGTTAACTATAGACAATGTCACGAGTGCCGAGGCGTTGTCGGGTCTATTAATCTGTCCTCGGTCTTTTCAAGTGCCTATTTTCGTTAGAAAAGACTTACCTGACCCTGGCTACGAACCTCTGCGGTACACGTGTGCGGTGGGCCTAGCAAAAGACAAAATAGATGCTACAGCGGCCAGAGAGTTAGTTGTGAAGCGGAGTGTGGTGAGTTGAGAGATCACAGAGTGTGACTCGACGTACGACGATATTGTAGTCGGTCCTATTGTTATTGAGTATCGCTTATTAAACCACACTAAACCGTAAATATAACATCATTACTGGTCCTTACTCTAAGAATCCATGCATTACTACATATTTTTGGGGTTCGAGCCGGGATTTAGAGTGCCAAGTGACAAGTGTAGGGTTTAAGTGACTGTATTGGTGAAAGTGATATCTCAAAACAATGGCTGACTACAATACAGGAGAAGTAGGTTTGACCGACGAGCAGGTGACCCAGATGCTAATGTCTGAGCTAAAAGACGAACTGAGAAGACGACGGCTGAGACTAGCGGGCAGAAAAAGCGAGCTGGTAGAACGATTGCTTGCTGCGTTACGCGTAGAACGGGAACACGCTGCGCGAGAAGACGATCCAGAGGATTACAACGACGACGATCCAGAAGAAGACGTCGACGACGATGGGATTGGCATGGTTGGGGTCCGTTTGGACGTTAACAGCCCAGGAAATCGCAATCTCAATATTCAAGACTACGGAGTTCGGGTAACTCCAATGATATGACGATCGAGACAAGACGAGCCTAGTTGCACGGTGTTAACGTTCAGAAATGTAGAGGACTCGCTAGAGAAATTCAACGGGGACGATCTGCCGAGTGTAAGTCGTTGGATCGAAGACTTCAAAGAAATGGCAAAAGTGTTCGGTTGGTCAGACATCCACATGGTAGTTTTCGCGAACGAACTGCTCACAGGCGCCGCTAAATCTTTCGTACGATATGAACGAGGCATGAAGTCCTGGGTAAAGCTAAGAAAGGCACTAAAAGACGAGTTTGAAGATGTAGTAAGTGACCAACAGATACACCAGGAGTTGGCGAATAGAACGAAGAGACCAGATGAGAGTCTGCAGCGATACATAAATAGTATGCGTGAGATTGCGGGACAAGAAAGAGTCGATATACAGTCGCAAATCGGCTATATTATTCAAGGCATTCCCGACGAGGTCGCAAATAAGGCTGTATTGTATAGAGCTAAGAACATGCAACAGCTGAAAGAACGCTTGAAGCAATATAAAGAGATGAAGAGGGATACGAAGGCGGAAACAAAATTTCGGGAATGCAAGGACGATATGGGAAGACGATCGGAAGTGCGAGATCAGTCGGAGCAAAGAGTTAATGACAAAAGCTGTTTCAATTGTGTCAGTGCGGATTATTTGAGTGCTAAGTGTCCGGAGAAAGAAAAAGGTGCTAAATGCTTTAAATGCAACGAAGTTGGACATATGACGGCGAGATGTACAGTGCGACCAAAAAAGACTGACTTCATTTCAAGACCCGAGGAGAAGGAATATGTGAAAGAGGTGTCGATAGATGACTGTAAATTTATATCGGTAGTGGATACGGGTAGCGATCTCACACTTATACGATCAAACGGGTATGCGAAGTTAGGATCACCACCTCTAGCTAATTCTAAGCTTAAGTTTAAAGGTTTGGGTTCGACTGATAATGAGACCTGTGGCGAGGTGACCTCTTTACGACTTGACGATCAGACTGACGGTTACGAAGAGGCGCCGAATATATTGAAAGTCAATACAGTAGAACAGACCGACGAGACAGATGTATCACACGCACAGGAACCGCATTACCGTGAAGCGATTCGCGATATCATTAGGGGGTATAAGCCGAAGAAGACGCGGGACGCCGGAGTAACTTCAAAAAGCGTATCGAAAAGCGACAAACCCGTAGCATGAAGACCGCGAAGACTGGCGCCGTCTGAAAAAGGGGAAGTGGACGATTTGATGGAGCTGTGGACAAACGAAGGCGTCGTTAAACCATCAGACTCGGAGTATGCAAGTCCTATAATTGTAGTCCGAAAGAAAGATAGCTCCGTCAGGGTCTGTGTCGATTCTCGCAAGCTACGTGAGGACGCAAAGAGGAAGATCGCCGCAACTCAAGAAGAGAATCGGAGAGGTTACAACAAAAGACGAAAGAGTGCGAAGCAGTACCAAAGGGGGGACCTAGTGGCCATAAAGAGAACCCAGTTCGGCTCAGAGTTAAAACTCGGAGGCAGATTTTTGGGTCCGTACCGGGTATTGCGAGCCATGCGGAATGGCCGCTACACCATGGAGAAAGTAGGGGAGCATAAGAGACCAGCGCACACATCGACGACTGCCGATTTCATGAAGCCTTGGATCCTGAACGCCAAAGATGACGCACCCGACAACAGCGAGAATGAACACAACATCTGAGGGCAGATGTTACTGCAGGATGGCGGAGTGTAGTATCGGGGAAAAGGGCCTAAGAAACATCGAGTTAACTATAGACAATGTTGCGAGAGCCGAGGCGCTGTCGGGTCTATTAATGTGTCCTCAGTCTTTTCAAGTGCCTAGTTTCGTTAGAAAAGACCTACCTGACCCTGGCTATGAGCGACTGCGGAACACCTGTGCGGTGGGCCTAGCAAAAGACAAAAGAGATGCTACAACGGCCAGAGAGTTAGTTGAGAAGCGGAGTGTGAGTTGAGAGATCACAGAGTGTGACTCGACGTACGACGATATTGTAGTCGGTCCTGCTGTTATTGAGTATCGCTTATTAAACTACACTAAACCCTAAATATAACATCATTACTTGTCCTTACTCTAAGAATCCATACGTTACTACAGTTATACCATATAACGTTATGTTATATAACGTAATACGTTATAACGTTATGTTACATAACGTAATACGTTATAACGTTATACCATATAACGTTATGTTATATAACGTAATACGCTATAACGTTATACCATACAACGTAATACGATATAACGTTATACCATGTAACGTAATACGTTATATCGTTATACCACGTAGTGTAATACGTTATAACGTTAAACCATGTAACGTAATACGTTATAGCGTTATGCTATATAACGTAATACGTTATAACGTTATACTATATAACGTAATACGTTTTAACGTTATCCCATATAACGTTATGTTATAAAACGTAATACGTTATAACGTTATATTATACGACGTAATACGTAACAACGTTACACCACATAACGTTATATTATATAACGTAATACGTTATAACGTTATGCAATGTAACGTAATACGTTATAACGCTATCCCATATAACGTTATGTTATATAACGTAATACGCTATAACGTTATACCATACAACGTAATACGATATAACGTTATACCATGTAACGTAATACGTTATATCGTTATACCACGTAGTGTAATACGTTATAACGTTATACCGTATAACGTTATACGATACAACGTAATACGTTATAACGTTATACGATATAACGTAATACGTTATAACGTTATACCATATAACGTAATACGTTATAACGTTATACCATATAACGTAATACGTTATAACGTTATACCATATAACGTAATACGTTATAACGTTATACCATATAACGTAATACGTTATAACGTTATACCATATAACGTAATACGTTATAACGTTATACCATATAACGTAATACGTTATAACGTTATACCATATAACGTAATACGTTATAACGTTATACCATATAACGTAGTACGTTATAACGTTATACCATCATTTTTCAAGTAAAAATCATGCGCTATAGTGGTCAGTGATACCAAACTCCCCCTGTGTTCTCTTCTATAATTAATTATAGTTTTAACAACAACGTATTTGATTGTGTAATAAGCGTACATGTGACCATGTTGTCATTTTTGAAGGTTCCAAGTTATGTTGATGATACTGTACATACATATGCACTTATGCACATATACATGTATGCACTTATATACATACGGTTTAGTGCACGCTAAAGAGAATTGGAGAGATTTTACCAATAATACCGAATTGAAATGAAAACTTAGATAAATCGTGTAATTATTATTTAAATTCAATTTTTAGCTTTGTATATATATAAGCAATTTCGCTGAAGTTATAATATTTTTATACATTTACTTGACGCCAATATTACACTTTATAATTTTTTAAATATAGATACCTCGATTTTTATAAGTTATATAAATGTAGTTTACTTGTTTTAATAAAATATCATTTTCGGTAAAATGCTTTACAATTAATCTTTTAATTAAATAGAAATTAAGTAACTAAATTGAAAGTATGATTACTGCTTCTATGTGTACATCGAAAGTATTTGAAAATATGTACATAAATAATTGATTTTTAAATAACTTGAAAATCAAGAGATAAAAAATAGTATAAAAATAATTTGTTTGGTAATAAGTAAAGCCTTATTTCACTTAAGGATAAATTTAATAAAATTAATATTTAATAGGAAACTAATCATTTTTCATCTTATTTGCGTTAATTGTAAAAATTATACTTGAAAGCTCAATATAAAACTTTAGTTCCCTGAATTTTTATATTTTTATTGTTATTTTAAATTAAGACATCACTTAAGGTAAGATTAATTCGAATTTCATTTTACGTCAATGATATATTCATTTTTATGAATTTTTTTATAAGAAATCCGAAATCAATTTTTATATTATTAAGTAATATGTTCCTTTAAATCTTTCAAACAAAAATACAGTCATTTTCTTTTAGATTATTTGAAATTGCTTAATTTTATTTACAAGTGTTTTGCTTAAGGACGACATTGCGAAGTAAAGTCTCGCTACAAGAATTATAAGTATCACAATGAAAATTAACATGACAAGACACCATAACATGATGGTATTACAAAATCCTTTAATAGATATCTTATTAATTTTCTCAAAGATAATCATCGATACATATGAATCAGTGATTACGGTAAACATTAAAACCTGAAAATTGCCAACGCCTTTCCATGTTCGCTCCGATTCCGAATAAGTCCTGTTTAAAGACTTGAGGAAATCGTTGCATCAGTGCTTCTACTTCATTGGGTTTGATACCTGGTTCCATTTTTTGTAAATAGGACCATAAATAATCTACACTTGCACCAAATGGATGAATATGTAAAAAGGTTGCTATTAATCCTATAATCATAAAAAATGTATTTATCAAATAAATAATATTTGAAATAGTTGGAAATTCATAGAATGATTCATGGAAACTACCTATCAGCTTGGCATCCTTCTGGGTAATTTGTACGAAGTTAGACGTTAAGACTAATTGCTTCGGAGTTCGGGGCTCCTCACTGACGTCATCATCTTTATCTAACGTTATAATCTCGCTCTCACGAGGTTCTTCTTTTTTCGTGGCATTCAGTTTGACAGTTAAATCTTTAATTTTCTGGTCATCTTGTGCTTGTTGTTTCCTTGATTGCATCAATTGTTCCTGCATGCCTTTTAAAGTTTGTTGCAACATCTTCATTTGTTTATCCTTCGCATCTATTTCACTTTTTGTTTCGGATTTTAGCAAATCTACCTACAAAATAAAATAAAAATGTATTCTTGTTTGTTTTACTATTTCTTTTTCTTTATAACAATTTTCTCGCATTACAACTTAAACATTAAATCAAAGTCACATACTTCATTTTTATATGCCTCTAATTGACACCGAAGACTATCATTTTCCTCCTTTAATACTTGTAATTTTTCAATATCATTGTGTGCATCCGATTGATTGCGTGTTTTTTTGCGTTGTGGTTCCTCTTCTGAGTCAGAAACTTCCATTTCTCCTTCACCTTCCATTAGAGATTCTTCCAGCTGTACTGCTTTAATCTCCTATTGCAATGAAAAATCATCACTGAGTTCATCCCTATTCAAATTTATCAATAAAGACAACATCAAAAAACATGCCTATATATACATATGTATGTGTGTGTGTGTATATATATATATATTTATATATATGTACACATACATATGTATGTATATATCTGTTTTTTTTTAATATCACTATAGGTAAAAAGTTGATAGAATATAGTTTTAACTTCAACCATTTCTCATAATCTAATGTATTTCAAAAAATGCATTTCTATAATGTAAAAGTCAGTTTAAATATTATGCACATAAGATAGTCCTTATAATGGATGACGACAGTTCACTTCTTAAATAAAAATTGATGTTTTCAGAAATCACCCAAAAGATGCTTACCTGAGTAAAATTTCATAGAATAGTTTACATAAATAAAGAAGTAAACAAACTAAAGAACAAACTAATAAGAAAACAAGTATAGTAAGGCATATATGATATGCCTTTGTGTATACGTGTGTAGGGGTTGTATGTGTCTCGATCAAGCATACCTATCTTTAAAATACAAAAATGAATAGGTTTATTTCTTAACTATATATCTATGTCCTTGTTCTCACAATTTCATTTGTATTAGCGTAAGATGAGAAATCCGCTTAATAAAAGTGAAAATTATATTTTAGATTAGAAATTGTTGTTGGTTCGATTGTTACCTGTTTAAACTCCAGTCAATGGTACCTGGCCAATTCAAATGAAAAAGTCTATTCTTTACCTTTCACGTTCCATAATTCCCAAAAAGTTTAAACATCAATTATACATTGTTTGTATAGAGTATGTCTGACAAGACGCAACAAAGTCATTCATACTCTTTGATCACTACTTACCTTCCTTTTTGAAAAAATGTGTTTGCAAAACGCGTGTGCCTGGCGCATGGATGAACGTGCATTCGCATAAAGAAGCGCTTTGTGACTCGTAAGACTTTGTCGATGATTACTGTTGTCTAATTGTAAAAAAAGTAACATACTGGACACGGGCTACTAACATGGGAATGCAAATACATACCGAGGATTGTTTCTTCCACATTTCGATGTTCTTCCGTTGAGCCTTTGTGAAGTGATCCCAGACCTTCTTGTGGCTGGCCGCAGTAAAGACGCGTTCAATCTGACTGACTGTTGATGACATGGTCGCATGTTGCATACAAAAACACAACAAATCTTCTGTTGTATACCCTGCTTTAAACTCTACATTCGTGTTGATCTAATACGTAACTCTCGTTAAAATCATCTAGTGTATATCACGCGTATGTCATGTAATTTATACACATTTTTTGACATATTCTTTGCAATATTCAGTCACAGTATCGCAAGTGTTATCTGTACCCCCTTCAACAATTTTTCTATATCTTTCAAATTCGAACGTTTCTTTTCAAAATACATTTGTGATTTTAATGTTACTTGAATATTTATTATCTCTCACTTTTTTTGTCTTTAGGAAAATCTTCTATATAGCAAATAAAGCAATAGAAAATAATCATGAAATTACTTATCCAAGTATAATATTTTCAAAAACTGCTTTCACCGTCGATCAGGGATCCTTATCGGAGGTGTTGCAATTCGGCTGTCAATCAGTCTTTTCAATGGATCACGATTAGTGCTTGTTTTCTTTAAGAAAATCTGCACTATTTTCCTAACAACTTACAACATGTAGAGGCTTCCGACGTTAAAACGATGATCTTACGCTACGATTCCACATGTCTTATTTTGCACTAAATAATACACTAAGCTATTTGTCGACTACTTGTATTATAATCGTATTCATATAAAATTGCTACATCAGGTTAACTGATAGATTAATATACCATATTGAGAATCATAGCATAATGTCATCTCCGCAACGAATATTTAGCCCATCACCCTTAATCCTTAGCATTGCAAGCATGCAATTTTTAGGTACACTATGTTTCTATAAAATGAATTTTTGTAGTATTTGTGCTCTTTTGTTCAATCATCAGAGCCTAGAATCAGAAGACAGGATATCTTCACCCACCTTATTTTCTCCTACTGTCTTTGATCCTTCTATCGAGTTGTCCCGATCGTGCATTGACCACAATACACTCGTTACATAATAAATTTCTTACAATACATCTGATGTTCTGATCTTAATAAGAATGAAATTTTTCCACAACTGAGATTCGATACAAAACGATCGACGATGTAACTTTCAATGTTAAAAATTTTATTTAATTTCATGTATTTGCCATTGGAAATGTCAGAATCTTTAATATCAAAAGTGACGTACTTTTACAATTATTATAACAATAAATTCTGCATTTATTATATATGTATGTGTAGTCTAATTTAGCTAATAGGTAGTAGCTAAGAATTTACTAGATATACAACAACAGAAAGTACGCACTTCTGTTATTACAAGATAAGCGAAATTCTGATGCAACCGCATTTTATCATTTCTCGTATCGAATACTTAAAGAATTTTAGGACCCTTACTTTATGGTAAAAAAACTTACCAGGTAAAGCAATATGTATGTAGATTTGCTCTTGTGTACATAAATAATGTACAGTGGTACAGAGCCATGTTATAGAAAAAAATATATATATAAACATGTATATAGTTTATAAAAACGTACATTGTATTAAGAGTCCTTGCATCCTTCCTTTCATAAGTTCCTTTGCCTTCTGAAGTTCCTCTTCGTATGCGACTTTTTCTGTGAGTAACCTTCGAACGTGAGAATTCGTTGACTGAATCATCGAATAAAAAGTGTTAGCGTTGCGTTTGGTGCAGTCTCCACGCTCGAGCCATGTTACGACAACCTGGAATGATTTAATGCGCTTGTTTTGTAACGTGACAGAACGCGTTTTCTGGAATTCAAAAGTTTTAGTCTGCAGAAACGCTTAACAACGCTTAAAATATTTTACATAATAAATACGTTCACAATGATAATTACTTACTTGCACCGCTTTCATAAAAGTATCGTCCTGCTTAATTTTCTCGCAAATATTTGATGCTTCATGATCTGTATAATGTACTACTGGAGGAGGACTGGACGGTGCCCTCTGTCTTTCTTTTTCAACTCTTTCTCTGTGGCGTTGTTCTCTCTGTAGTTGACGTTGTCTACATTCCCATTCATATTGGTCATCCCTAGCCTATATTTTTTATCACGGTATAAGTAAATAAACAAGTATTTACGTATTTACTTAATTTTTTATATATTAAAAGATACTGAGCACTATGTACAAACCTGAGCAAAATCTACATGAAGCCTGCCTGTGTTTGCAGGGTCACCACTGGATCCTATTCTAACTCTATATCCAGATAAATAAATTGCAGCATCAACACTACTCTCCAGTACGAAACGTATATGACAAAAATTTTTTTTAGAAAGTCGTAAAGTAGTTATTTCTCCGCATCGCTCAAATATTTCTTGAATAATCGTTTCCGTGATGTTTTCCGGCAAACCTACGTGATAATATTTACAAGAAGTTATTAGTTTTATATTAATTTTGAGTTTGTGTACAATATATAGACGGAATAAATTGAAAATACCTCCGACAAAAATTGTTCTGCATCCTGGAGGCCTTTCACGGGTTGTTGGAGGTGGAGCATTTGGATTTGGTGGAAACAGTGTACAACTTTTACAATGTATAATTTCTTTGGTACCTTGTGGCGTTGTAGGTGGAGGAGGTAAGGCACCACTCATAATTTGGGCAGCATCGTTCATTATTTGTTCTGGTCCTAATATTTGTGCACCTATCATACTACCATCGTGTGACATCATTCCCATACTCATAGGCCCATAACTATGAGTATGACCCATATGTGGCCCAAGTGTCATTTCACTCATCATAGGTCCCATTGGACCCATTGGACCCATTCCCATGACTGGATATCCTACTCCCATTCCCCAAACTCCTGTTGCTTGTTCCATTTGTGTTCCCAAATTCGGAGTATTACCAGTATTTGATGATGATGGAATTTCATTACTATTCGAATTACTAGTATGACTGTTATTGTTACTGGTAGAATTTATACTGTTTCGATCATCTGGTCTTCGTTCTTCTCTTCTATCTCTTTCGCTTCTTTCTTCCCTTCTTTCTCTATCACGTTCCCTTCGATCGCTTCGATCACTTCTAGATCTACTTCAAAAATATTGTATAATATAATAAATGCAGAAAAAATGCATAATATGATTATGATGTTAACACAATTCTATAACTTAATTACGTGAAACAGTAAGCGAGAAAACAACCTTCTATTGTCTCGATTATCTCTATTGTCTCGGTTTTCTCTTTCACGTCGAATGTCACTTTTTTCATTTCTTTTATCACTATTATCTTCAGAAGCTTCTCTAACTACCGGTGGTTGGTTTTTATTTGTACTAAATTCTAATGGAGAATCATTCATTCCTGGCAGTGGTATCGGTGGAGGTAAAGGAGGAAATCCTTGGCCTGCCAACTCCATAAAACTTTGTGGACCTGCGATTGGAGCAAGAGGTCCCATCGGTCCTATACCTAAAGACATACATGATATCCTTAAGTACGAGGATTTTTCTAATTATAATAAGATAAATGAAACTTTAAATACAGTAATAAGGAATACGTATTTCGACAAATGTAAATGTATTATAATGTAAAGTATATGGTTATGACTTTCAAGCATACCCATTGGTGGCATAGCGGCCGCTGGTACACCCGGAAAATTGTAAGCCATTTTCTATTAAACTTTTCACAGTACTGCAATTATTCTTTGACAAATTACAAATAGTAAAAGAGATTGAAGAAAATAAGTTTACTCTTTCGGGATTCTAGATCATATCGTTGCAAGCTCTGCATCCAATATGGCAGGAAAGCGAATGTAACCTCTTTAATTTTAAATTTCTCAATCGGCTCATTTCTTCGATAATTTTGATGTTAATTAATCTTGTGCCATGAGAGACAACGAGTGTACTAAAATTATCGGATCGAATGTAATTTTAGTACCGTATAAGAAGAAGCACGTTGAAAGGCTGGTATCGTTTACCTGTTATCGATTGTCGACATCAATTTACGTTAGCAAAAATATCCGCCATTTTTAAATCGTTCCTTATGTTTCTTTGAAATAGTTGGCAAATTAATATAATTTGTTCTTCAATAATTATTTAATATCACTGACATTTTGTATTATATTAGTTCATTTTCAGGTATCATGAATGGATGAAGTCCGCAGAATTACGATATTTTACTGGTTCAGAGATGTTAACATTGGAAGAAGAATTTCAAATGCAACAGCGATGGCATCAGGATCAAGATAGTAAGTAACTTTATTTTTAAACTACATGTTCAGTTCTACTGCTGATATATTTTTATTTGTTTTAGAATGTACTTTTATCATTTTGGAAAAAACTGTTTTTACTACATCTGGAAACGAGATAGGTACATAAAACATTATTCTATGTTTAACGCTATTCTTTTCATTATGTATCAATATCAATGAATTTTTTAGAAGCTATGATTGGAGATACAAATTTATTTTTTAACGAATCAGATCAGCCAAATACTGCAGAAGTTGAAATTATGATAGCAAATGTTACTTATAGGAGAAAAAAAAGAGGTTGGGAAGCTATGATTCTAATGCTTCTTTATGGTATATGTTTTATGATGTCTCTTTTTTCTGTCATTTATGCGTCTTTTTTTATTTTAATAAAAATTAAAATACTTTTCTCAAATTAGGAATCAGCGTATTAAATGTCACTAAATACATTGCAAAAATTAAATTTGACAATGAAAAGAGTATAAAAATGTTCGAAAAATTGGGATTTCACAAGGTAACCTGTTTCTTAAAGTATTCATTTAATAGGAATAATACTTTATTGTCAAAATATATATAATTTATATTGTAAGATAGATAGAAAGAAGCCAAGTTTTCCAAGAATATACTTTTGAAAAAATAGTAAATCGAGATTGGATAGACTGGTTATATTCTGACACTAATATGGATGTAATTACTTATGAAGAGTATGATAAAGAGAGAGAGAGAGAATAACCCTGTCCATGATTTGTAATATATTTATAACAGAATCAGTAGTATTAAATGTTTTTTCATAATTTTCTTATATCACGAATTATTAAATCATGGAATTCTAAAAACGTTCAAACATTTGTAACTAATATGTTATATCATTTTATGATATTAAATAATTCTCAATAGCGTAGTTAGTTACAATTGACATAACTAAGCCGTGATTGCTTTTGATTGTCTCTAAGTGATCATAGTTGACTACACGTGTGTGGTGTACGCAACTTCGACGAAAAGCTGTTTTGAACGTAAAACTTTTTTACGTGTTCAATTAATTGAAAATATATCTAATAATATATTTGATGTAATCCAAAATATACGTAAGTAATTAACTTTATTTACACTTTATTCTTTTTTCGTTCGCTTACATTAAGTTTGATTTCATTGATAACGTAGAAAAAGTTTGCCCAAAAATAACGGGAAAATAGACTTAAACTGAATGAATCTTGTTGTCATGTCGATTTGTCATTATGGAATGGCTCGAAAACTTTATTGATTATTTAAGATGAAAGATTTTTTACAGCACGAATGTTTATGTTATCTAAATTATAATACAAATTGAAATTTACATGCATCTATCTTTGTACATCTTCGTCTTATAACTCTATACAAATATAGAAAAATAATAGTGTTATTATATAATATATTTAATTTATGTTATTTATATATATATATATAATTATTGTTATTCGAAAACTATTACAAAAATCTGCAAATGTTACTCAATATGCAAATAAATATTGACAACAACAATGAAAGTGATAGAAGTTAAAGATATTCTTTCAAGTTTATAAGTTTTTTTCCCTGATAAGTGCATTTATGTAATTATTTCGGAATATGTTCTTTCTAAACATTGTAGAATAAAAAAGTGTATAATATTCGAAAAAGATCGTAGGTAGGTTAAGCGATAATTTGAAACAGAAACGGATTAGAAAATGTGTACCGAAGGACGACAGCTATCTACTATTATTCAACACGTACGCAGAGATATGTATTATATTTCAACGCGTATACAGATTTGGAAGAGGGTATAAGTATAAAAAACAAACGTTGTATAAGATAAGAAACTGTTTGACCCAAAAAAACTCTAAATTTAAAACAATTAACTTTTGTATTCCTCTTACAAGATATTTAAGAATTATTCGCCAGATTTCTACATTAGTATTGCGTTTATGAAAATTCGGAAAAATTTTTCCTATTTTATTACCTGTAAGAATATACCGCATTGCGGCACCGTTTTGCCTTCTTCACCTTATTCTATCTACATCTATCAATATATCTCCTGCAATTATATTTAGATAGTAATAAATAATAATTTAACTACGTATTAATCACTTGCTGGTTTACTTTTTTGTAAAAAACCGAAATTTCAGTGATCGATGATAATAAATTTCATTACACAATGAGCACGGTGAATTTACAAAGAAGAAAATAATTCTGATAATATTGCAATGTATAGTAGATACATATTTCTAGTTCCAATTAATTATACCATGTTCGTTATAATCAAATGTTAGAATTTTTAGAATTCTTAATAATATTCGTTGCTTCAAATTCTTTGAATATCTATATTAAAAAATCTTATCATTTTTATATATGTAACATAACGCATCAAATTTCAGATAATAAAGCAGAAGTGAAATTGAAATTGGAAACCCGTGGAAAACTTCTCACAATCATGTCTCTATTAAAAGTATTCCAAAAGTTGAAAAGTTCCGCGCAGAAAAGACCATTACTCTTCAATTCAATGATATACGGTTCTTTTTATACCGGTGCTGAATTCGCACAACAAACTTATAATAAAATATTCAAGGTAATATCTCTTTTTGTACGATCAAGGTATACGATTGAAAGGATCAAAATTTCGGGGAAAATATTTTAACTAAAAATAATATTACGTAAAAAATAAACAATATATACAGAAGAAGCATATAATGAATACATATATAAAGAAAGTTAACAGAATAACAAACAAATTTCTTCAATAAAAATGAAAGACAAAGCAACTACGAAAGGTATAGTAGTATAATATATACTACTATATCACAAAAATATGTTATTGTATAATATTTGTTAACGTTTTTAATTGATTAATTGTTGCGATTGTAGTTTTCGTTATCACCGGTATCAGCAAACATTGAAGAGACGAACACATTTGAAATTAAGAAACCACTATCTCTTTGGATAAGAAACTTTAATCAAAAGTTGGGTTTATTGGATGAGAATAACTCAACGCAATCGAGAAGTTACAATTGGGCTCAACTTAAACGATATGCTATTTATGGTTGTTTCATTGCAGGACCTATACTACATGGATGGTACCGCGTATCACTTTATCTTTTTATACAATGCTTTATGCTATTTATCCGTTTTTATCACTTATCATCTATCACATTATGCTTTTCTGGTTACATAGTAAGGCACTTTATGTATTAGGCGCATGCATATGCATATGTGCTTATATATGTGTCTGTACATATATATGCAATTGTGTTTGTAACAAATGGAACGCGAAAGTTATTGAAAATCTCTAATTTAATAATTACAATATCATTAAACGACTAAATTTTTTTTGATCATACAAATATATTTTTTCTTTAAACAGAAACTGAATATTTAAAATAAATTAAAATATAAATAATAACAATAACAACAATAACGACAACGATATTAAAAATTAAAGCACTTGATATTGATATTAGAAAGTTAAAAAAGGAATTATGTATATATATATATATATCAATCCTATATCGATATATAAAAAAGTTGTCAAGTAATTGGTTGGTTTTATTTGATTTTGATAATGTTGATCTTTCGTAGACGCTTGTTATTATAAATATCAACATGAAATAAATTGTCTGTCCACTGGATGACGATCGCACGATTGCATTCATCGGCACGCTGGTCTTCTGTCGACTTGTCACCTTCGGTGAGCTTATTCTATTTTGTGATTTGCAAAACTTGCTTGTATTGTATTTGTTAATGCCAATGTTATCATGAACTATCATGATAAAATAATAAACATTAAAAATTACTGTATCTTACTATCAATCGATCGAAATCATATCTTTCCATAATATTTATTAATTTTAAATTAACATTTAAGCTAACGTTTAAGAATCGACTAAAAATCAATTAAATTATTCAATATTGTGTTTTCATCAGGTACAAATGGTTGGATATATTTTATAAGGGCCAAACTATAAAAATTGTCCTCACAAAACTTTTGGTCGACCAATTTATTCTTACACCGCCATTAATTACGCTGTTTTTCATCAGTTTGTATTCAATTTCTCTGTATCACATATATATATATATATATTAATTTTATATATAGCATTCATATTTTTTCAATCCTTTTAAATAACATTACACATCTCGTTATCATATTCCTTAATGTTTTAGGTATGAGTTTGATGGAGGGTAAATCGAATCCATTGGATGAATGTAAAGCAAAATTTTTGCAAACGTTCAAGGTAATTTAAATTATTTTATTCTTAACAGTCAATTGATTCTAGTTTTCAATCTAGTTGGGTTTCTGTTTTATTTTTAGACTTCCTGCATGTACTGGTTACCAGTTCAATTTTTAAATTTTCTACTAGTACCGTCAGTACTACGAGTCTCCTTCGTTAGTATCGCGGCCTTTTGTTGGGTAAACATACTCTGTTATTTGAAAAGTATACCTGTATCCGAATGTAATAATAATTAAATAAAATATTGATTTCCTGCGTTAATATCTTTGTTTCTGCATGTTAAAGTTCACTAAAAACTTAGTATAACAATGAGCATGACATATTTAAATAATTGTAATTTAGTTTAGTTTAATATATATAATATGTAAACTTAAGCATTTGTCAAAGAGCATTAAGAGCATTAATAATTGAAATATTTTTAATTTCTTTCATGTAGGTTCCGTAAAAAAACTCGTTAGCTTAATATTAGAAAGTGTCAGAATAATTTGAAATGTAAAAGTATAACGCGTTTATATTTTTAATATGTATTGTAGTAAATATAATGTTACATTCGAAAATGGAAAGCTACAATCAATTGCACTATGACAAGTAATTTAATGGAATATTCTGTTGCAATGTTATCAATTTTTATGAGGAGAAATTAAAGATTTCCTTATGATATAATTATTATATTCCAAACCATTAAAAATAAAAATTTCCAACTTTAATTTATATAAACCAATCAAAAACTTGATAAAATTGTGAAATAAATAAGTCACCTGTATGTATATAGTGAATTTAGTGTATATACAGTATATCAACATTAAATATATGATGTATATAAGTTATACATATGCATAGTGGAATATTGCTATATCTAGGAAAATATTTTCATTTTTTCACAGAAAATGTACACCCTCAAACTGATATTTAATCTAATAGATAAGTAATACTCTGATTAGTATTGCAAAGAAAATATTCTGAAACAAGGAAGGGAGGAAATCACATTATTTCGATATAACAATACGATTTCTATCAGTAAACAAATAATATTCCAATATTACTTTTAACTTTTAAATAGAATTAAATTTAGAATACAAAAAGAGATATATCACGTTAAAGAAAAATGTCATACTATTATTATCATTGAAATGTGTTTTCAATAATACAATGCACTAGTATGAAAATATTACCTTCCATTTTTGAAACAAGTAAAATATTTTTATTACTCTTAATTTGCATGTATGTTCATGACACATATACGTATGTAAAATGAACTAGTCTCTTCATTTGAAACAGTTTTATGAAAAAGATTTGATCATTGTACAAACATGTATTTTATAAGAAAAAGCTTATTTCATGTTCAAGGCAATGAAAGATTATATGCATTTCACGTTTCTATAATAAATATTGTTCGTATAAATGTTATAATATATTAATTATATAATACATATATTTGTAGCAACACAATATGTATGTATGTACCATTATGTATGTAGAATCTGACTGATTTAGCTTACATTATACCTACTGTGATTGTATAAAAGAATGCATAAAAGGATAGGCCATGAAAGTTTACTACTTCCATATAGAATATCGCACTATTTATAGTTTTACACTTATTTTGGAAATCTAAGTGATCGATAATCATCACAGAACAAAAATACTGCAAATAATATTGAATTCAAGTATTGAACAAAATTTAAACACTTAGACATTCATTCAGTATGCTCTACTTTCATTACTTCTTTTTTCCACACATTACATTACTATACAATACTTAGTTTAAATTTCCAAAAAGGATATTATGTATTTTGTTAGAATTTTATACGTTTCCATTAATCCGCAAATAAATATTACATAGTAATATTATTAAGTAAAAATTGTTCATAATGTAATATATAATACTGTCACCTTGATTTGACAGTAAGCAAAAAGCATTTCAAGATAAAAGTATCTTCAAAGAGTATATCAACTTTGTTATATTTATTTCATTTTCATATTATGTTATCAGAAAGAACCACTTATTCGATATATGTATTTAGATCAATTGAATTTACTACTTGACCATATTAAACTTTCTAAATTTGTTGATAATGATCATACGAGAATATTAAAAATTACATCGTGTTTACTTAAAAAGTATTTTTTATAACGTTATATGTATGTATAAGATATAACGTATATTTTTATGAATAAATATGCGTACGGCATTCGATAGTATTGTGCGATTACAAAACATTATCTATTTACTATCGGATCGATTGATCTACTTCCTCAACAGTCTTAATAAAACGACTTAATTGGTTCATCTAATATTCACTTTTAACAATTAGGAAAGGCACCTAAGAGGGATCCAGCCCTACCTTGTAGATGAAAATATATTCATTGTTCCACTGGCTGTGCGTTTTCTTATAAGACGTGCTGCCACTGTAAACGTTTAATTAAAAACAACATTATGCAACGTTTTTAACTTTCCCTTTTTTGAATTTTTCTCTTTATTTTGGTAAGACTTACCAGTTGCATCTTGTGGAGTAAGTGGTTTGTCTATCACTTTTTGAATTACACTTATCCATTGTGATCTATCATCATCGCTTTGAGCAGAAAGGAGATAGGTTCTATCTGGTGTTTCAAGAGTAAATGAAAACCCTTGATCCCTTGCACCCGGAGGTACTCCTGTTTTTACTGCAAAACCATCTGAACTGTGTCCCAAGAAGATTTCACCTTTTGGATGTGCATCCTTCAAATTGACACAAAATAAACTTATTAATTATCTTTCAATAGTAATAATATACTTGTATCTAGTAAATAAGTATGTGCAGACCATGGGATCGTCATGATACATTAGTTTTCGTCCATCTAATGTGAACCATCTTTTCTTGTAAGCATCCGTATACCTAGGTCCAGTTTTCCATAAAAACCCTTCACGTGGGAAGTCTCTAGTAAGTTGTGAAAGTAATTCAGCCTCGGTTGCTCCTGGATATGCAACTTGCAGACGATGTAACTTAGCGCATCGTATTGCCAAATACCAATTTGTAATTACTTCTGGATCTTCATGATATACATAGATATGTCTTGTGGTTCCATCTTTCATAAATGATATTTGTAGACTGTTTTGATTACAAGTTTTAGGAGGAGCAAAAGCCACGTTTAACTCCGATATTCTAAGGACAGCTTTGGGTTCCTTAAAACATAATAACTGGTAAGAATAGAAATAGTACATACCAAATATTAAATAAATATTTATAATTAATGTTCATAAACCTTATTTTCTTTAACATGATACTTGAGAGTATCATCTGCCTCACAAAGAACAAATTTTCGAGGATGATATCGCGAATCTTCTTTACCACGTTTCATTAAAAATCCTTCCATAAATCCTGACACATAATGATTTTGCCTCTCTGGATGACAAAATTCTTCTCTTTCATATTTTGCTCTTATCCATTGCTCTACCAATACTCTGTTAATCGAAAAGGATGATTTTTAGAATATATTTGTTTCTAACTTATTGTTACAAATACATATATAACAACGTACTGTGGTGCATCCGGATTTGGTCTGCGATAACATGGAGGTACACGTTCTTCATAATGAAGCCTAGCTGCGATATTACCAACTTCTCTAATTCTATTTACTTGAGAATCTTCCCACCTGTCCAGTTTTAAATGCTTAACTTTAGAAATATGTGCACCCATTGATCTATGTATACCTGCACACCTTGTGCATACAAATATTCCTATGTTATAAGAAGCCCATTCTGGATCTGGAATTTAATTCCAATTAACCTTATGAAAATATTTTATTTTCTGATTTTCTGACATAGCTATAATTTATTCAAATATAGATAAACATAAACACATATGACTGTGAAAAAGATTTCAATAAATAAAGAAATATGATATGCATTACTTTTAAAATGACAAAACAAGCTAGCTACTCATTTTAAAAGAATAACACATAATGCTATATATCATTCCAGAAAGATTATAGCAAGAGAGGTAAATAAACGTAAGAAGTAACACAATCTAGATGCATGAAATCTCTTTATTACTATATACAATTATAAACTGAACTGGTACCAGATATTATAGCGACACCTTTAAATTCCTTACATAAAAAGCATTCCAAATGAAACAATTTCAAGATTCTTTAAAACAAATACAATATAGCCTATTTTAAATATAATTCATACAAAAATTTGTAATCACACAACATCATAAGCCTTATACTATATGCATAAACGTAAACTAATTGCTGAATTAATAATATCACTTTAGAACAACGATGTTGTACAAAGCAAATTTTTTCAGTTAGTTGTAACAAAGTAAAGGCAAATAAAAATAACAGTTTCAACATTATCATTTCTAATACTAGAGTTATAATTAAATTATTTTGGGATTTATCCTGAATAAAGTTAGGAAAACAAGATTTCGTATTCAACTAGTGAATAGTTTGTAATATAATAGAATAAAATAAATCCCCGTTAATGTCTTCTACATTACGATACGGTAATGCTTCTTAGAAAACCCACTCACTCTTTGCCCCACAATCCGCACATACATTATTTCCAGGTTTTTTGAGGAGTTCTGCTAACAACTTCTCGTTTAAGTCCGCCATCTTAAAACACTGACAAACAGCAATAAGTGTATATGCAAAATGCAAAGATTATTCGATATGAAGAAGGTTAACTCACTTAAAAGACTCTCTACGATTAACACATAAAAATATGTCACTTAAAATATTATATTATATATTATATTAATTTGTCGTCTAATGGAATAGAAATTTTTATCTTTAATTTTAATTTTACTTTCGGATAACGTTTTGTCTTTAATATGTGCTTTATCATGACCAATTACTCCTGCTATTCTTCTTTGTCACTTGTCATTTAGGACAGTAAACATACAAATTTGTAGAAACCAAGCTATTAATTTTCAAACTTTAATATGTTAAATTAAAGAGGAAATCAAATTTAGAGGTATACTATTCCCAAAGTGATATTTTTCCACAAAAAATTACTTTGTTAAAAAGATATGTCAACATATATATATTAATATATATATATTATATATATTAATTTTATTACTATTTGTTAAGTTATTTAAAATCATTATATTCTTCTGTTAAAAGAACCTGAGTAATATTAAAAGAAAATAACATTTTACAAGAAAATAGAAGTGTGTTAAATTTAACTTCTTAACTTTATTTAAATATTATGTTTTATATACGTACATATATTTCTAATTACAAAGCTAAATAATTATAAAATGATATCATTAGCTATATTATATTTCGAAGAAATAAAAATTTAATAATAATGTAAATAGTTTCACCAACTTGTTTTTACAATTATCCAACAGATTCAATCATTTTTTACCATCAATGCAGTAAGAAAGATCAGATCTATAATCTATACTTTGTGCAGTAAGAAATAAATATCATTAACATATTTGTATCATTGATTACATATTGAACATTTTTATGCGATTGATTTAATGGTATTGTATTGAATATTGAATCATTATCATCTTATTTCATAGCTATTAGGAACTGTTAGGACATGCTTTGTTTAAGCATTACAATACAATAACTTAGTATCGTATATTCATATATATACGTAAATACCATTATCGTTAGGAATTTTCAATTTTGAAAATTAACATTTAATTATACATTATATTTCTTTTATAGTTCATAAAGTTACCTAGTATAAGCATAAAATATGTTAAAACAACGTTAAATTGATTAATCGAAATGTAATAAATTTCTCGAATTATTTAGATATGTTAAAGCGCGTGTAGACCGAACCTTGTTTATATGTTATTAATTCGATTAATTGTAAATAATGAATGTCACAGAAATGAAAAATATTACAAATCTATATAACTACATTAATAGTCAGTAGTAACATCCTAATACATATATATATATGTACTTATGTATACTTATGTATATATATATGTATGTACACAGGATTAATACTTAACTTTTATAAGAACTAATTAATATGGAGCATACATGCATATGTATTTAATGGAATGTTAGATTACGAACATTTTTGTAATATTTATTATTCTACTGGGTATATTACATGATATGTAGATATGTAAATAATTAAATATCAGAAACATAAAAAAACAAAAGATGAAAGCAAAGTTAGGAAAGGAGGATAACAGTGATTCTAGTGATGGAGTAATTTATCGTTTGTACAGGGCCACCGAGTGTAATAAGCGACGCGTTCTGCCACTAGCTAACCAATTTTGATTCATTAATAGGTCGACCTGTATGACCTAAAGTGTCGGAGACTGCTAAACGAATTAATTTACCCACATTCTTTTAGTGCGAATACGCAATATGTGTGCCTTTCTTACACAGGAACAAAATTTTGTTTATTCTCAATTGTGATTATTTTTATCCGTGAGTTATCTCTATCAGTTGCATACATAACGTTGTTCTACATCGAATGGAAAACAATACAACTTAAAAATTACTTCGCAATGTAGAAGAATTTTTTGCCAGTTTTATTATAAAACTGTGCAAGATGAAGGTAACTGAAATTTGAATAAAAAATGCATTTTTTCAAATTTTTACTCGATATTAGTAATTTAAGTATAAATCCCATGCCTTATCCATATGTATATATATATATATATGTACATAATAAGTAACTTTTTCAATTCTTTCTCAGTGAAACACGGCAATGTATGTTCGAGTTATGTTCGAGAGTAAGTTTCGATATTAGTTTTCATTCTTTGTTAAAATTATTGCTGCAGCCTTAACTGTATCCAAAATTTATTATAATAACGAATAAATTATATGATATACATCTTTTTCAAAAAGTTTTCTTTTCAATATGTTGTATGACCGTATGTGTATATATGTATACTTTATCTCTGCTTATAAACATGGTTAAACCATGAAAATGAAGTTTTTACTTACGAAAACTTGAAATGCTTACAGTTTATTTCGTATTTATTTCTAAATCTGTATGACGTTACAGCACTAATATTTTTAGTTAATGTAAAATTATAGGAATACACTATTTTATCAATTAATTATTATGAATATAATCCTTTTTTAAAATACAATTACAATATCGTTTCCAGTTAATTTTTGCGAAAACTAGAGGTAGATTTCCAAAGGATAGATTTTTATTTTACAACGTATAGATTTTTAAGTTATACGTTTTCTGTCTTACTTACAATTTTTATTTTTAATTATACAAATTCATAAGCCCATATGTGAATAAATATAGTATACGTATATTTTGCGAAAAGAAAATTAATTTTATATCTTCTTACGAAGATATGTAATATTTTTTATAGAATCCAATTAAAACGACATTACATTAATTAAATTATTGTGTTAAATTTTGTACTGTTTCAATACCCTTATTATGATTAGTTTTTATTAAAATAAGAAATCAGAAGCAGCAGCAAAATAATACAAACTATTTTTATAATTAGATAAATAATTGTTAGCATTAAATTCAATTATAAGTAAAATAATAATAGTAACTTTCATATGAAATTTTTATGAAAACTTTCTCTTTTTATTTATAAGCTAAGTAATATTTAGGCGTTCAATCTCTGTTTATGACTTGAGAAATGTTGTTAATATTAATATTATTAGACAACAAAGTATTATGACAATTGAATTACTAATTTTAACAATATATGTATTATGAAATGTTAATGATTTTGTATGATAAAAAATTTTGTTTTAAGTTTAATTTAATATATTGTCACAGTGGAAATATTTGTGCTAATTTTATAATGAAAAATTTGCATTTTATTTGCGTATTAAAATAACTATGTAAGGTATAAAGTTATTAATTAATTAATATTTTTTTTAAAAGGATCAATTGGATTTGCAGATGCAGTGGTTTGCCATAATGGTGTGTTTATATGCTGGTGTAGCAAGTGCAAGGACAGAAGAAGATCAACAAACATCCTCTTCAACTTCGATTATTGGGATATCTGATGGTCTTTTAGAACAATGCTTTTACCGGCTATCTAGTGAATGTCCTGATGTTAAAACAACTCGATGTTCTTGTAAGAAAATTGTTTTGGCCCATAATAATCCCGAGGGCAATGCTGTACTTTGTTGCAACTTGGATGTTCAGAACTTTGAATTGGAACTTTCCTGTGCAGGTTATTATAAAATTATGTTAATGACAAGTAAAATACGATTATTTTATTGATACATTACATACACAAGTATTTGACATATGTTTCGAGGTTTATTGCAAGTATTCTAATAATATTTTGATCATTACAGGATTTCCATCAAACATATCATACATACATATAAGAAATGCAACATTGGATGTATTCAATGTAAGTGAAATTCGGTGGAGAAGGCTAAAGTCACTTGCAATTACCGATGGTAAAATTAATAGAGTGAAGGGACAATTTCGAATGATGACACCAACAGTTTGCTTGAATCTTTCAAACAATGCTCTCATCGAAGTAGAGAATAATTCACTTACTCGATTAGCTCAACTCACTACTTTGGATTTGTCTTATAATAATCTCACACATTTACCAGCCTTAAATACAATGAATGGCCGAGAATTTTGGCTTGATATTTCAGGTAAGTAGGAACTGGTGATAGATTTCAATATCAACATTGTACAGATTGTTTAAGATATAACATAGCTTTTATGTTTAGGAACAAATACACTTTGGTGTCATGACATTTACCAATATATTAATAAAACAGGAGAAAAGCAAATTAATTTCAATCATGAAAATGAAACTGTATGTTCAGCTAGTAAGACTTGGCATTGGTTCAACACTACAGAACAAGTTCCATTGAAACAAGTTCGATATCTTAGTTTGGTAATAGTTTAAAGACAAAAATTATATTTTTAGAGTCCAGTATCATGCGATATAAGTAGCAATTCAATTAACGTTCTAATGTGATATTTATTATCTAATTTTATTTCATGGATCGATAGTTGCAAACAGAATGTCCAAAAGGTGATACATGGCAATGTCAATGCAACTTCAAAAGATTGGATATTGTCGAAGGTAAACCACCGACTTTAGCGGTAAATGTAGATTGTAGCGGAATTCAAATTACCGAATTACCTGAAAAATTACCACGCAATACTATATCCCTGAATGTATCATATAATAATGTACGTAAATATTATATTTTTTTACGTTGTCTAAATCAATAAAGTATGTTAATTTACTTGATTGCTATTTGTTGATGCTTATCTCATCGATAAAAATTAAAGATTAATTATATAAAAATATAATACGAAAATAATATTTTTATCATTTTTATTATATCATTAAGTGATATGTTATTATTGTTATCATTAATTGTTATAGATCACTGCATTAGATGATCTGAGTACCAATCCATGTTATGAAGATATAAGAGAGTTTTATGCAGACTATAATCATATATCGTCTATAAATAAATTAGAAGGGTCCAAATTTTTAGATAATTATGCTTTCCTTAGTTTAAGATACAATAAAATTAAATCTGTAAGTAGAATTCAAAGAAGTTTGGTAAGTAGTAAATAAGAATATTTCAATATTATGCATGATATTTTAAATGCGCAGCTTCCAACATACATTTTAAGCCCTAATACTCATGACAAAAGTTTTATCAGTTCGCGATTAGTAAAGCTTGGGGGAAATGAATTACATTGTGATTGTAACACGGCCAAGTACCTAAAGGTAATATTTTGACTATAATATAATATTGATCTGCATTTTTTCTAATGTTTAATGTTATATATTATAACTCAGGTATGGTTACAAACTCGCATATTAGATTCTGATGAAGTATTATGCGAAAATGTAAAGGAAAAAGTTGTTGACTTAGAACCTTCAAAAATGTGCGTTTATCCTGGTGATTGGACAGATTATATTTATTATATTATTGCTACAGAAGTCGTGCTATTGATAAGCTTGATAGCTAAAGTATCTTATGATTATTGGATTTTTAAAACGGCAGGCTACCTTCCATGGCCAGCAAATAAAATGCCGAAACTACCTTGTGATTGGCTATGTGAAACGTAATAATATATTTTTTATATTTCATTTGTACCATATGTTTTACTGAAAGAAAATGAATTTTAATATTTCTATAAAATTAAAAAAACATGTTCTTGTGGATATGTAAAATATACACAAATAGGGTATGAAATGTTTTAACTGATGTGTATATTAACTTATGTGTATATTGTACAAAAATATATAATTACTTAAACGGTAAATACATAGTAGTCAAATACAATTACTCAGATTTCAACATTTTAAATAAAAGAAATGAGCTAGTGCCATGATTTTTAAGTATCTTTTTGTGATTAATATTCAAAAGTACAAAATAAAATTCATGTATACTCAAGTTTATAACATCATAATTGTAACATAATTCTTAAAAAGTAATGATAACCTTTTCTTATCAAAAGCAATTTATTTTAATGAATACCATAATAATCAATATTCATCTAATACAACTATCTTATAATGTGTGTTCATATAAATTGATCCGTATAGGCTAATACATATCAGATACACAAATTTAATATATTGCCATGTGTAATAAAGATGTGATATTTTGTATTAAATATTGTATTCAATATCTCAATTACTATTTCATAATGAAAATATGCTAATTAAGAATATAATATTGTTAATAATATATTTTTAAATATATAATATTTTTATATGATATGTATGAGTGTGTAAGTGTACATATAAAATCAATAATTATCCTATTATACAGACAATATAATATAGTATTGTAATAAACCATATCAGGCCATACAAATATATTTAACATACTTACTTAATAGTTTATCCTTTGATGATGATTGATGGATATATATAACATATTTATATATACGTAAGCGTTTATACGTATGTATTTAAAATATTTTATCATTCATACAATATATTTACTTCACATGTAATATGATTATAAATTTTTTATTAGTTTACAATATGTATCGGTTAATATACACGATATTAAGTATATATAAGACTATTTCTTTTACTCACATTTTATTCAGAAATTTTTTAAGTCATTCTTTCTTTTTTAAATTGTACGTTCTTTATCTATTTCTCTTTTTTTTAAATGTTTTGTATTTATTTTTTTATCTTTATTCTCTTCACTTTTTAATTCAGATTTCTTTTTGGAATCGTTTACAGCAACTTTTCTGTAACATGCAAATAAAGAATAGTAATTTTAAGAAATAATATCCTAATTACTAGATATTTACTAGAAGCAAGTATAACTACATACATCATACCTTTTTTTAAATGTTTGTACACGTTTGAATGTAGGTAGAGTTGATATACTTTCTCTAATAGGAGCCTTGCATTCATGTTTCCGTCTTTCCCTTTTACTATGTTTTTTCATGGCTAACATATAATCAGGAACATTACAACCAGATTCACGCATGATAGTAGCTATACTAAAATGTTAAAAACTATTTGTAGATATTTACATAAAATAATTTTATCATATTTACATGTTTTAATATAATACTTCAACAACATTTACCTTCTCAAATTTGTAGTGTCTTGTACAGTAAAAAAAGTAATTGCTTTTCCTTTATGTCCAGCTCTACCAGTGCGACCTATTTAAAACAATACATATTGAGAGTTTTGAGATATTTAATTTTTTCATCAAATTTGGAAATACATACCAATTCTATGAACATAAGAAATAGCAGATGGTGGGAAATCGTAATTAATAACAAGATTTACACCTTTGAAATCAATACCTCTTGCCATTAATTCTGTACATATTAATACCCATATTTTTCCCTCTCTAAAACAACGAACGACATTGTCTCGCTGAAAAGAAAAGAAGTGTATTATATTTAATATTATTTGGTTAATAAGTTATCATCTATGTAAAATATACCTGTGTTTGTGTTCTATCAGCATGAATAACATCAACATTGACTCCATCATATATAAGTTCGTTAAATAATTCTTGTGCTCTTTCCTTGCTTTGCACAAATACTAGTACAGGTGGTAATACTCCCTTTATCAAATGCAATTATTCACGTGACAATTTATTAAAATAGATTTCACAAATATATTGATAAATAAAGATGATACCTTTTGAATAATATTTCTAAGCGCCACAAGTTTTCCTCTCTCTGCGCCAACAAATAACAATTCTTGTTCTACTAAGTCTGTTGCAGCATTCCTATGATAGATGTAATACCAATAATCACTTGTTTAAAGAAACAGTATATAATTTGTTATACATATAAAAAAAGAAAATTAAACCTGTGTCCAACAGTAACTGTTATAAGACCTTTCAGATTACGTCTACACCATTTGGTCACTATAGGAGTATTGGTTGCACTAAACATTGCTTTATGTAAGTTTTCATTTGTACATGACTTTGAAATTGCTTCTAACTGGTCTCTGAAGCACCTTGTGCCATCCTCAAAGAGTTTATCTACTTCATCCACAATTAACCATTCGACACTATAAAATTTTTAATGTTTCATGCATTATACATAACTTTGATAAGATTAAGATATAACAATATATATATATATATTATTACTTGCTAAAAGAAATAGCTGGTGGATCCTGATTCAACAGGTATATTATTCTTTTTGGTGTAGTGATTAATATATCTACAATAAATAAAAATACAATTGTATATCATATTACTTTGATGTATAATTTTCCATACAATTTGTACTAACCAAATTTCTGTGAACTTTTAAGTCCATATTTGTTTAATGCTTGATTCACTTTACTTATAATATGAACTCTAAAATTACATCCTTCGCTAAGACGCAAACATTCTCTATATGTTTGTTTTGCTAATTCTCTTGTTGGGCTTAATATAACAGCTCTAAATCCTTTCTTCTCTGGTCCACCTAAATAATGAATTATAGGTAACAGAAATGCAGCTGTTTTTCCAGATCCAGTTGGGGCGCAAGCTAGTACATTTCTACCCTATTTTAATCATAATTATAAAAACATCGATGTTTTATTTTTAGCTAAAAGCATTGATATAAATAAAATCTCAGTAATAACTATAGTAATCTTACTTGCAGCATGACGGGTATAGCCTGCATTTGAATTGGAGTAGGACATTTATAACCACAATTTGTAATATTATATATTAATTTTTGAGATATATTGTAAGTTGTTGATAGTTCAATAAATTCTGAGATAGGTTTAGGTATACAATTGCCTGTGACACTTATGCGATGATGATTGCGAAACTGATTAATCTAAATGAAGAAATATAGTATTTTAAAACAATTATTGTCTCTTACATTAACTTATATCAATAAAATATTGTAAACCTTTTCTTTTTCTAACTTTAATCGTTTCTCTTCAGTTAAGGCTACTTTACACTTTTTATTTTTATTTTGAGGAATAGACATTCCATCAAGCAACGTCAAGTCATTAATATTTTCAGTTTCTTTCTCGACCTCATCATATTTTCTTTTCTCACATAATATTGAATGATTTATGTTATCAAAGGATTTAATGTTTATTTTATCATCATTAACTCCATTTCCAGATTGTTTGTTGACAAGCTGTATCAAATAAGAAATTTATTTAAAATATATTTGCATCTTCAAATGTAATGTTTTATTTTCAAAGAATACCTGAAATCTTTCTGCATCAACTTGAAAACGCTTCCTATCAAATTTTACACCAGTAGAAAGTTTTCGAAATAGTTCATATGCATCCATTGTTTCTAATCGTATTTAATAAGATTTCTATAATCACACACAACCTTCGTTATTAGGTAAAATCAAAAGTAAATTAAACAATATTGGAAATGCTACTAAATTCATTCACTAAATTTATATTTACTAAATTCATACAGTAGATACATCATTAGATATAGTAGCGTTTTGTAGGTTGTCGACAAAATAGTGGCTCCACCTGTTAAATCATTAACGAAATAGCTCACCTATGGTTACATAATATGTACTTTCAAAGAGGAAATTTCCTCCCTGTTTATACTATACTATATTATACATTATCAATTTAATACTATACATTTGTATAGTTTGTTTTCACTAACCTACTAGAACATAGCTCTCTATGGCTAGCAGCTGATTTGTAAAGCACACCTTATTATCAGAGAGGAAATGAGAATGCTCACATTTGTGATTCCGGTTGTTTCCGGACTATTGCTGCTTTCAGCGGCCAAATTCTGAAGGTGTTCTATGTTAGTAAATACAAGAACCTATATACAAGATTTCATTTCATTGTATGATTCTATGAAAAAGCTACTTTTCTATTTGAAACAGACAAGTATGAGAATAACAAAATCGCACAATAATTAAAATTAGTTGCTTTAGAAAGAAATCATTATATCTTTTTTAGAGAAGAAAAGAGAATCGTTTCCTTCAAACGGTAATGGATTAATGAAATGATACAATAATTTTAATATATTCTCTATACACGATAACTTTTTAGATTTAACACAAAATTTACTTTCCTCGCGATAATGTTTTTGTTATAATAAAATCTAAATTTCATTTTATTAGTAATTTCAATAGTTTACTGCAATAGATAGACTGCAAATAATATTTCTGACGTGATATATCTGCAGAAAAAGAATCTCTCGCTAATTGCATGGTCGACATCCCCTTCACAGGGGAGAGATGCCTCTCTATGCTTCGTGAAGTTCGACGACCCGTCGTAGTTGAGTAATATAACATAATTCAATGTCAAATATCGCTGAGACAATGTATGTAGGTACTCATTCAAAAATGAAATTTTTTTATTTTTAACTCTTTCTAAATTAAATTTTTACTAACATATTTGAGAGAGCTTTCTGAATAAAATGAGATCAAATACGATATATTTTGAATTACAGTTACTTATTGATATGTATTTAATTATCATTTATTAAATAAGCAAATATGTTCCAAATTATATCGTATTTGGTCCCATTTTATTTAAAAAAATGTAATAAGTATATTGGTATGAATTTCATTCATCACTGTTTATTCCCCGTGGTTGATCAAATGTTGTGATCGTTTGGGGTTGGTTGGCGTTTGCACATGGTGTGCTGACTAATAAATCTAATTATAAATCGCGTCTGTAGCGCTGTATACTCTTGAACTAGAGTAAGGGAGTTAATCGCTGGTAAACGGCGGGTTGGTAACAGGGTGACTCCCGCAAGTCAAGAGCTAGCATTACAAAATGCCCGAAATGAATAGTTTTAATAATTTTACTATCTACTATTTTAATAATTTTATTAGCAAACAAATGTTCGCTAAGTGCCGTATATGAGCTGCAGGCTGGTTTGCTAAGGAAATTTGCTGAATAGTGAACTAGAAATACACGATGCTTCTCTGTATCATAAAACCATCATCCCATTGCATTTTCTAGTAATCACAAATCAAAAGAAAAGAAAGTTTGAATTTTGAATTAAAGGTCTTAGCTTGTAAGTATTTACATGTTACCGAACGCTTCGACTCTCAGTCTCTCTATCTCTTTCATTTTCATTGTCCTTTTCTAAATTCGGCACGTCTAAGATCTCAGTTTCCAGAAATAAAATTGTTTCTACATCTACATAATCACAAAACTTTGAATTCAAAATCCTTGCAATTATTGCATATTTTCGTATCTCGGAAAGTAAGAGAAACCGCCGGTTACACACGTGTATAGAAAAAAATTGTTCAAACTCATGCCCCTTCCTCCGCCACATACTGAAAAATTAACAACTAGGTTTAATTATTGCGCGATTTTGTTATTCTCATACTTGTTTATATTGAATAGAAAAGTATTCCGCAGAATTGTACAATGAAATAGGTTCTTGTAACGTGGAACCAAACAAGGCAGATATCTAACTTTGTAAATTCTTGTATAGATTAGCATGGGATACCTTCGGCACTTGACCGCGTGGTGCAATATCTGTATTGTGCGTGTGAACTCTCTCATTTCTCCTCTACTATTGCATTAAAGCCTTATCCCTACCATGGAAGTTACCAGACCGCTGATGTATACACGACTTTCTCGTGGACGTAGCAAATAGAAATATTCCTATAATATAAATATATATGATATTATATAAAAGATGCATAAATATGTAGAATGTATGATAGAAATTATAATACGAATATTCTTCTTTATTTTTTTTTCACTTTTAATTCAAAATTTTTTTAATTCAAATATATCCCCTAGATCCTAGGGAATAAAAACATTATGAGAATGGTACGCATGAATCATACCATGTGACACACAATATAACGCGGTTTTCTTTTCTTTCATTTAATACGAATATATTTTATCATGCGTGTTACATAAATTGTCTTTATTTTCTTTTTATATACGAATATAGAATACAATACATTTCCAAATATATATTTTGCTTGAATATTTGATTATAGTAGCACAAAGAAAAATTTTACATTTGTATGATATACGCACAAATTGCACTTAATTACCGAACAACTTTTGTGCATGAAATTTGCATTTTACGTATGTATGTGTAAATATTCTTTGATGCTTTATAATTGAGGTAATGTTAATGAAATTTTACAAGTAGCAGTTATTTAATTATCCCACTTGATGAAAAATTATAAAATTATAAAGAATCAAATTATTGTGTAAAAAGGTTCAGACAAACAAAAATTCAAGATGCATAGGACCATCAAAAAAATTTTAACATCGATAAATTAAATACTGTAGCAGGTATAACTATAATATCCAATTATAATTTAAAAAAATTACAAAAACATCAAAATATTAAAAGCGCCATCTAAGCATGTCACAGTATGTGAAAAATAAATAGAAAAAAGACAACTTCACCTTGAATATTTTTTATATTTCTATATATTAATGCATTTTTTGTATTTTTGCACTTACACATTTTTCATAAATGCAAAAAAAACTGCAGTCTATTTATTAGATTAAATTGTAAAAAGTAAACTGTATCAATCCTTTGTTAAGGAAATAAATACCGATAAAAATTAATAAAATAATTAATCTATTTATTTTAATTTGCAGGAGCAAATTTGAATATGAGCTTTAGCTATTAATCACTAGCTATGATTCGGCTCTATCTTGTATTCGTACCGCAATGTAGGATATCCCCTCCAGGAGGCAAATACGCTGGAGAAGTCAAACTGTCGGTGCGTTTCTCTGCCACCTGACCACCAGTTGTGATTTTAAATTATCCAGGACGAGGTGTGAGCTTTTTTTTCGTCGCGCGTGTTTCCATGACAACGTGATGTATTCTCGCGGTGCGTTGCTGCTACTTTGTTGCTTGTTCTTGATACTGGCTGGCCACTGTCACGAGGAAAATGTCAGCACCGTCACGGAGGAGAACGCGCTAGCAAAATTGGTTAAAATGTTCTCCAAGCCTGGAGCGTTTAAACGAGTAAGATTTAAACATTAAAACTTTAATAGTTTAATTTTATCTGTCTTCATAAAACAATGTAATAATAATAATAGAAGCGATGTATAGCAGATTACATTATTTCATATCATAATAATTAACTTCTTCATTATTTTCTTTTTTTCTTGATAGGTAATTTTTTAAAAATTGTATAATCTCAAGTGACAGACGCGATGATGTTGTTTGTCGAGTGATTATTTTTCTCTCCCTTTTTTTTTTTAGAGAAAGTAAAATTAAAAATTCAGATTTAGAAATGTTTTTGAATCTTGACTTTTGCACTCTAATTAACAAAAATACGCATGCGCATTGAATAAATACGCTAAGGACGAGGCTGATAAAAGTGCCGGCACTTCTCGACACTTCTCGTTGCGTAACGAAAATCGTAATCGAAGAATATTTATGTACTCACGATTACATGTTTCCGAATTGCAATAACCACAAGCATGCCACGCAGAAATCAATAGACATTGTTCTAACAAATATTTTATCTAACTCTTTTTTCAACACAAAACTGTAAACATTTAAAAGTCAAAACAAGAAATTGTATCACTATTCTATTATTTTAAATCGAATAATAATTATATAGAATTAGATCATTACATTACATATTTCAAATAGCATAAATAATTACACGTTAAATCTTTCTCGATATTTCCTAGAATTCAGAATTAAAAAAGAAAACGCGCATTGCTAGTTTTGCGGATGCGATAAAGCTATCCGATTAACTTTCAGATTAACGCAATATTCGGTGAAAATTCGATCGAGGAGCTGTACACGTCTTGCCCGAAAGGCGAGGAGGGTCTCGAATGTAGAAGAGCCGAGGCCAGACGATCCGTTGACTGTCCTGAAGGTAATCGACCAAGGATTCCAAAATTTTATGCACGTACACTCGTAAACACACATACAGTATACAGTTGCTCATGAAAGTATTTGAACTTACCAATCTGAAATGTATATAAAAGTTACAAGGCATTTATTGCAAGTATATTTTCAGTAAAAAATGAATACGTATATATAAAGCATGCATAGCCACCTTAAATAAATAATAAGTGTTAAAGATGGCCCCACAAAATTTTGTAACATATTAGTAGATTGCGAATGTTTAAGTATTTATAGAAAATTTGGAGGTTGTATATTTGCAGAATGTATATAATAGTCAAAAATATATAAAATATCCAAAATAAACAACATAATATTTAGTCGGTAAAGACAAGCTGTACCTATTTTACGTCTGTTTAATTAGGTTCACAAAGATATGAACTTGTATAAATATCTGCAATTTACTGATTAATAGTGGATGACTGACTGTTTAAATACATTTATGATCTTCGCGAAATGTTCACTGGTACTGAATATCTTGTAGCTTCTATGTATGTACATTTTCAGATTTGTTTCAAATTTTACAGATGTAATCATAATCTGTAATCTGTAATCGAATCTCATTTCAGTGGTAATGAAATTTCAATATATGATATATTCATAAATGCTTTCTACAAATGTCTGAATACTTTCTTGGGCCACTGTACACACACGCATGTAAAATCAATACGTGCATACATCTTTGCATTCCAACAAAGCCGGCGTAATCACTGTTATGGAAAAACATATACCACTATGCGCGATGTATAATAGAGATTCTGACCTTGACATAGCCACTCCCAGACATTGTTTGCCCACGTTAAATGCACACAAACGCGCGAGAGCGTTAATCTACGAATTAGATCCGGCGCAGCGTTGGATCGAACGTTGTCTCTCGATTTTTTTCGCATTCAACCGTATTCATCGTGGCGCAATAAATCACTTTCCCAGGAATGATGCTCGCACCGGTTAGGAAACATTTCTGCTTTTACTTTGAGAACGTGAGCGTATATAGGTTTATGGTCATTTGGGGGGGGGGGGGGGGTGAAAAGAAA